AGTTTCTTCACACTCACCCTTAGGTGCATCTGATCATGGTTTGGTCTCTCTAAAACAATTATCTCATTCTTCTTTACAATTAGAATCCCCCTATCATCGTACATCTTACAACTACCTTATAGCTGACTGGGACCCTTTTCTTGACTTTCTTCGTGATGGCCCCCGGGTAGAAATCTTTCGTCTCCCTGTTGACAAATGTGCTTCTTACATAACTTCGTAGATTCAGGCTGGCATGGAATCCTTTATTTCCTCTCGACGATTCCAGATCAAGCCTCACTCTTCTCCATGGTTTTCCTCACATTGTGCTGCTGCAATTGCCAATCGAAACCATTACTTCCATATCTATCAGCAAAACAATTCTCCAGAAAACAGACGTCTCTTTATTACTGCTAGGAACCATTGTAAAAAGGTTTTGTCTAACGCCAAAACCCGCTATTCTCAGATCATGAAATCTCGTATTTCATCACAAAAATTAGGATCTTGTGACTTCTGGAGAATCTTTAATAGTATCAATAATAAGGGCAAGTCTGTAATTCCACCTCTTTTGTACGGTTCAGACTTTGTCACCTCACCTAAAGACAAAGCTGAATTGTTTGCCAAGAACTTTTCATCAATATCATCTCTTGATGCCACTAGTTGCGTTTTACCTGATATACCCGTCAAACAGGTTGATCCATTGCTCGACATTCATATCACTCCAGCTTCTGTATCTAAAGTGATTTCCAGCTTAGACTCTTCTACAGCTTGCGGCCCGGACAACATACCTGTTATAGTCTTGCAGAAGTGTTCTCCTGAGCTGTCGTCTATCTTTTCAAAACTATTCAACAAGTGCTTATAAGAGTCTTGTTTTCCAGCCTGGTGGAAAGCAGCATCTGTTATCCCTATTTTTAAAAATTCTGGAGAGCGATCTGACTCATCTAACTACCGTCCCATTAGTCTTCTTCCTATCATAAGCAAGGTTTTTGAATCTTTAATTAACAAGCACTTAATCTCGAATCTCATAACCTTCTTTCTGATCATCAGTATGGATTTCGATCTTCTCGTTCTACGGCTGATTTGCTATCAGTAATAACCGATAGGTTTTATCGCGCATTAGATAAAGGTGGAGAGGTTAAGGCCATTGCTATTGACATTTCTAAAGCGTTTGATAAAGTTTGGCATGCTGGTCTCCTCCATAAGCTTTCTTCTTAAGGTGTATCTGGAAACATCTTTAAGATTATTGAATCCTTCTTTTTCAATCGTAGTATAAAAGTTGTCCTTGATGGACAGCACTCTTCTTCTTATTCTGTAACCTCAGGGGTTCCCCAAGGTTCAATCCTTGGCCCTATACTCTTTTTAATTTACATTAACGATCTTCCAGATATTCTCACATCTAAGGTGGCATTGTTTGCTGATGATACTACCATTTATTCTTGTCACGATAAAAAGCCAACTACCTCTGATTGCTTGCAGGGGGCATCTGAGCTCGAAAAGGATCTCACTTCTGCTACAGCATGGGGCTCGCAGTGGCTGGTGAACTTTAATTCAGATAAAACTCAATTTTTTTCGGCCAATCGTTATCGCAATAATTTAGACCTTCCTATATTTATGAACGGTAATGTACTCGATGAGTCTCCTACCCTTCATCTTCTAGGATTAACTCTTACTTCTGATCTTTCTTGGAAACCTTATATCAAATCCGTTGCAAAATTAGCATCTGCTAAAGTTGCTTCTCTTTATCGAGCTCGTCACTTTCTTACTCTGGATTCTATTCTCTATCTCTATAAATCTCAAATCCGGGCTTGTATGGAATACTGTTGCCATATCTGGGGCGGATCTTCTAATGATGCCCTTTCTCTTTTAGACAAGGTGCAAAAACGCATTGTAAACATAGTTGGACCTGCTCTTGCAGCCAACCTTCAACCTCTGTCACATCGTCGTAATGTTGCTTCTCTTTCTCTTTTCTACAAATACTATAATGGGCACTGCTCTAAAGAGCTAGCTATATACATATATATATTTATCTACTATAGCATATTTATATGCGCAATTGCTCACTTTTTTTGCTAGCCTAAATTAAGTGAGCATTTTTAGAAAACGATGAGGGAAAACGAAGAATAATGAATGAAAATGTTGCTGACCCATACCAAACCCTCAGTCGATGTAGCAGCACTCCACGGCGAGTCAGGTTATTTGTCAGTCGATGTATGTACTGAAGTCCCCGGCAGCAGGCTATTTGACATTAGGTGAGTATAACATCATCATGCTCACCTAACTCAGCAGTATAAGATATATATATATATATATATATATATATATATATATATATATATATATATATATATATATATATATATATATATATATATATATAAGTGTTTCAGGTCGGCAAAAAAATATATAAATATAAGTGTTTTAGGTCGGCAAAAAATTGCCAACCTGGTTTCTATATTTTATGGTCACACCTTTGTATCAAATAATTTTGCTGACCTCTAAAAGATTGAAGTTGGGGATTTAAATCCTGCGGATTTTAAACTGATGATTCAGGTGAAGTAATTTTAATATGGTGTAAAACTTGCCGAGAGTATTTAGAGCTTGTCATAATAAAAATAAAGGCTAAGCTAAATTAGCAACAGAAACGTTTGTACGGGGAACATCAGTTATAAAAGATGATGATTGGACAGAAAAATCTGATAATGAGTAAATTATGAAAATACGTCAATAAGACAATCGCCATTGCGCAGAAACCATGTTTATATATAAAAAAAAAAAAAACTATTTTTAGTATTTTTTTTCTTATATATAAACATAAACTAAATTTGTATTTCTAAACAACGTTCTTTCTATGAGCAATCTAAAAAACCAATTAATATGTAATAAATAAACTATGACCAAGCCTTCCCAGGAAAGGTATGCAGTTTTTCATCTTGTATGACCATGCGACAGTATTATAATTTAGACAACTTGATCATGGCCGTTTGCAAGTTTTATAATATTAATAATGGCAGAAAAAGTTTTAAAAACAAAAAAAGCAAAACTAACAAAATAGGAAATAAAAATAAATTTGAATAGAAAAAATTAAAATAAATTAATAATTTAAAAAATTAATGTACTGCTTTTATTTTTATTTCTTTATTTAACCTTTTTTAAAGAGGATAGCGAAAATACAAATTGCAATGTATTTATAAAATATATTTATATAACAACAAGAGTTGAATTAAGCGAAATGCAAAATCTGGAAAAAC